ATGAATTCAGTTCCGCTGTTAACAAAATAAGGCAACACACTCAATGAATTCATTTCCGCTGTTAACAAAGTAAGGCAACACACTCAATGAATTCATTTCCGCTGTTTACAAAGTAAGGCAACACACTCAATGAATTAATTTCCGCTGTTTACAAAGTAAGGCAACACACTCAATGAATTCATTTCCGCTGTTTACAAAGTAAGGCAACCGACCTAATGAATTCATTTCTGCTGTTAACAAAGTAAGGCAACCGACTCAATGAATTCATTTCTGCTGTTTACAAAGTAAGGCAACCGACCTAATGAATTCATTTCTGCTGTTAACAAAGTAAGGCAACCGACTCAATGAATTCATTTCTGCTGTTAACAAAGTAGGGCAACCGACCTAATGAATTCATTTCTGCTGTTTACAAAGTAAGGCAACACATTCAATGGATTCATCACCACTGTGAACAATGTAAGGCAACCTGCTTGATTAATCCATCGCCTGTGCTAACTTTTTTCGAACACTGTTAGTTAGACAAACCACCATGTTTCTTTTATAAGAAACCACAGCTAAAATCAGTAGGTTAACACTGAAATACTAAATAGGTTTGCACTATCGGATATGATGACTCATCTCCCTGCATGATATGATGTCAAGATAACATTTAAGTCAAGTTTACACCTCTGTCATGTTTACACCTCTGTCAAGTTTACACCTCTGTCAAGTTTACACCCCTGTCAAGTTTACACCCGTCAAGTTTACACCCCTGTCAAATTTATATCCCTGTAAAGTTTACATCCGTGTCAAGTTTACATCCCTGTAAAGTTTACACCTCTGTCAAGTTTACACCCCTGTCAAATTTACATCCCTGTAAAGTTTACATCCCTGTCAAGTTTACATCTCTGTCAAGTTTACACCTCTGTCAAGTTTACATCCCTGTAAAGTTTACACCTCTGTCAAGTTTACACCTCTGTCAAGTTTACATCTCTCTCATGTTTACACCTCTGTCAAGTTTACACCCCTGTCAAGTTTACACCCCTTTCAAGTTTACATCCCTGTCAAGTTTACATCACTGTCAAGTGTACACCTCTGTCAAGTTTACACCTCTGTTAAGTTTACACCTCTGTCAAGTTTACACCCCTGTCAAGTTTACACCTCTGTCAAGTTTACATCTCTGTCAAGTTTACACCCCTGTCAAGTTTACACACCTCTGTCAAGTTTACATCTCTGTCAAGTTTACACCTCTGTCAAGTTAACACCTCTGTCATGTAAACAACTGTCATGTTTACACCTCTGTCATGTTGACACCTGTCAAGTTTACACCTCTGTCATGTTTACATCTCGGTCATGTTTACACCCCTGTAAAGTTTACACCCCTGTCAAGATTACACCTCTGTCATGTTTACACCTCTGTCAAGTGTACACCTTTGTCAAGTGTACACCTCTGTCAAGTTTACACCTCTGTCAAGTGTACACCTCTGTCAAGTGTACACCTCTGTCAAGTGTACACCTATGTCATGTTTACACCTCTGTCAAGTGTACACCCCTGTCAAGTGAACACCTCTGTCAAGTGTACACCTCTGTCAAGTGTACACCCCTGTCAAGTTTACACCTCTGTCATGTTTACACCTCTGTCATGTTTACACCTCTGTCAAGTGTACACCTCTGTCAAGTTTACACCTCTGTCATGTTTACACCTCTGTCATGTTTACACCTCTGTCAAGTTTACACCTCTGTCATGTTTACACCTCTGTCATGTTTACACCTGTCAAGTTTACACCTCTGTCATGTTTACACCTCTGTCAAGTTTACACCTCTGTCATGTTTACACCTCTGTCAAGTTTACACCCCTGTCAAGTGTACACCTCTGTCAAGTGTACACCCCTGTCAAGTTTACATCTCTGTCAAGTTTACACCTCTGTCAAGTGTACACCTATGTCAAGTTTACACCTCAGTCAAATTTACACCTCTGTCAAGTTTACATCCCTGTAAAGTTTACACCTCTGTCATGTTTACACCTCTGTCAAGTTTACATCTCTGTGAAGTTTACACCTCTGTCAAGTTTACACCTCTGTCAAGTGTACACCCCTGTCAAGTGTACACCTCTGTCAAATTTACATCTCTGTCAAGTTTACACCTCTGTCAAGTTTACACCTCTGTCATGTTTACACCTCTGTCAAGTGTACACCCCTGTCAAGTGTACACCTCTGTCAAGTTTACACCTCTGTCAAGTTTACACCCCTGTCAAGTTTACACCCGTCAAGTTTACACCCCTGTCAAATTTATATCCCTGTAAAGTTTACATCCGCGTCAAGTTTACATCCCTGTAAAGTTTACACCTCTGTCAAGTTTACACCCCTGTCAAATTTACATCCCTGTAAAGTTTACATCCCTGTCAAGTTTACATCTCTGTCAAGTTTACACCTCTGTCAAGTTTACATCCCTGTAAAGTTTACACCTCTGTCAAGTTTACACCTCTGTCAAGTTTACATCTCTCTCATGTTTACACCTCTGTCAAGTTTACACCCCTGTCAAGTTTACACCCCTGTCAAGTGTACACCTCTGTCAAGTTTACACCTCTGTCAAGTTTACACCTCTGTCATGTTTACACCTCTGTCAAGTGTACACCTCTGTCAAGTTTACATCCCTGTCATGTTTACACCTCTGTCAAGTTTACACCTCTGTCAAGTTTACACCTCTGTCAAGTTTACATCTCTGTCAAGTTTACACCTCTGTCAAGTTTACACCTCTGTAAAGTTTACATCCCTGTAAAGTTTACACCTCTGTCAAGTTTACATCCCTGTCATGTTTACACCCCTGTCAAGTTTACATCCCTGTCATGTTTACATCCCTGTCGATTTTACACCTCTGTCAAGTTTACACCTCTGTCAAGTTTACACCTCTGTCAAGTTTACATCTCTGTCAAGTTTACACCTCTGTCAAGTTTACATCCCTGTCATGTTTACACCTCTGTCAAGTTTACACCTCTGTCAAGTTTACATCCCTGTCAAGTTTACATCTGTCATGTTTACATCTGTCAAGTTTACATCCCTGTCAAGTTTACAACTGTCATGTTTACATCTGTCAAGTTTACATCCCTGTCAAGTTTACACCTCTGTCAAGTTTACATCCCTGTCATGTTTACACCTCTGTCAAGTTTACATCCCTGTCAAGTTTACACCTCTGTCAAGTTTACATCCCTGTCATGTTTACACCTCTGTCAAGTTTACACCTCTGTCAAGTTTACACCTCTGTCAAGTTTACATCTCTGTCAAGTTTACACCTCTGTCAAGTTTACACCTCTGTAAAAATTACATCCCTGTAAAGTTTACACCCCTGTCAAGTTTACATCCCTGTCATGTTTACATCCCTGTCGAGTTTACACCTCTGTCAAGTTTACACCTCTGTCATGTTTACATCTCTGTCAAGTTTACACCTCTGTCAAGTTTACACCTCTGTCAAGTTTACATCTCTGTCAAGTTTACATCCCTGTTATGTTTACACCTCTGTCAAATTTATACCTCTGTCAAGTTTACAACTTTGTCTCACATGTTACATTGAAGCAAATATGGAATAATTATGGTGCTTATGTAAACTTGGGAAGCACATCCACTTAACACCTCACAATACATCACTGCTGTGACTGTTAACACCAGCTGGAATACAGCCTGAATCTGGCCTCAATCATGGGTCGGTGGTCTAACATAAAGATGTACTTTAAACACATACATAACTAAATAGCACCTTTAAAATGTCTTTCTACGACAACTGCGACTCAACCAGTTTATAAAGACGTACAATGCAGAACTGAACCTAATGAAGCCTGGCACCATGAGAAAACCAGGGGCTCTAAATAATTTTAATGGTGACACATTACTTAGTTACCATGGCAACATGTCCTGTCAAAAAGAAATGGTACATTAATAATTCAAGACTGTCTATGAATAGCAGACAACCAATCTTTCCATATAAACAGTAGAGTTACTACAAAGTTGCAACATTTCAACAACATGCAACAAGTATTCATAACAAACAACAATGTTGTAAAAAATAGTCCAGGTGATTGTTTGAACAGTTCACTACCATGCAACAAAGTTGATTGTTTTAACACTGTTGCACTCGATGGGGATATATGTGAGTATTGCACATTAAATTAATAATGCCCAACTCACTGTCAAGCTATAATCCACAAAATACCAGCAGCGCCAGATAAACTCCTACATAAGCTGCGCTACTTGTAGATACGGGGTAGAACAGCTCTTCAGTAACCCATGCTTGGTTGCTACTTGTAGATACGGGGTAGAACAGCTCTTCAGCAATCCATGCTTGGGTGCTACTTGTAGATACGGGGTAGAACAGCTCTTCAGCAACTCATGGTCGCCGTAAAAGGAAACCATGCCTGTCGTAAGATGTGACTAACGGATCGGGTGGTCAGGCTCACTGACTTGATTGATGCATGTCACCATATCCCAATTGCGTGGATCAATGCTCATGATGTCAGTCACTGGATTGTCTGGTCCAGACTTGATTATTTACAGACCGGCGTCATAGAGCTGGAAAATTGCTGAGTGCAGCGTTAAATAACAAACAAACAAAACTTGTAGATACAGGATAGTCTGACTCCACAAGTTTCCCCGTATACACAACAGAGGGCCATTTGTTCTCATCACAATATGTACAATGATAAATTGAATTATTGTCAACGAACAAAGTTCAGACAAGCTCGAGTTCACAAGGATAGGAGGAGATCTGTTTTCACCTCCACGGTATTTTCCTACATCAAACTTTTCTTCTCAAATCTGGTCTGCATTGTACACGCTCCCCCAGACTGGGACATTTCCTTTTGATATGTGCCCCCAACGTAGCGTTATAACGAGGTGTTTTTCCGATCATATCGAGACCAGCTGTTTAACATTCTACCTTGAATCTCCTGTGTGTGCGCCTAACTGCCAACTTAGAGTACATGGATATACTAATGCATTTATTTTAAAACATGCACGATTTATGACACTTACCGGTTGTTTTCCATGTGAATCTGCTTGTGAATCTTGACGGATGTCAAACGAAAGTTTTCGTGGTGGTCGGTCCCCGGGATCACTTCTATCGAATTGGTCGGCATCTTTGATGTTAATGCTGCTGTAAAAACTGTAACCGAGAAACAGTTGAAGTCCTAACATGAGAATCGCGATGTAGAAGAAGAATTGATACCTCACACACAGCCTCCGCGACGAGGCAATCCTGGAAGCGGCCATCACTCTGCGGAGCCGCTTCTCTAACTCCACGCCAGGAGAGCTTGGCACGGGAGATAACTTGTACTGTCTCCTAGCAGACGACGCAGCGTTCATCGCTCAGCTGTTGGTGGAATCGATCGATGTTCAGCGTTCGCTGCAAGCGCCCACTCCATGATAGCGCACGGAGACACATGCTTGTGGTACCGCGTCACTTTAATACAGGTACATAGCTTGACTACTACGCCAACTAGGAATAGTGTGGGTCAGGCCCACGAATAAGTCACGATAGCTCGTGCTACTTAAGGAAATTGATCCTATGTGAAATATGAAGGTAATTGCAGTTTGTAATAATGTCATAAAATGGCATACACTTAGGGGGGAATATCAAATAGCACAAGTGCGTGTATATTTTTAGAGATATAAAAAGCAGTCCTTCGCTTATATTGCTTATTGATTTTGACAAAAAAACCATTCCTTTACACACACTAGATTATCTAACAACAATATCCAGTTACACACCGGCAGGTAGATTGTTTAACAACAATATCACGTTACACACCAGCGGGGAGATTATTTAACAACAATATCCAGTTACACACCGGCAGGTTGATTGTTTAACAACAATATCCAGTTATACACCAGCGGTAGATTGTTAAACAACAATATTACGTTAGACACCGGCATGTAGATTGTTTAACAACAATGTCCAGTTATACACCAGCGGCAGATTGTTCAACAACAATATCCAGTTACACACAGGCAGGTAGATTGTTAAACAACAATATTACGTTACACACAGGCAGGTAGATTGTTAAACAACAATATTACGTTAGACACCGGCAGGTAGATTGTTTACTAACAATATCCAATTACATACCGACAGGTAGATTGTTTAACAACAATATCCAGTTATACACCAGCGGTAGATTGTTAAACAACAATATCACGTTACACACCAGCGGGGAGATTTTTTAACAACAATATCCAGTTACACACAGGCAGGTAGATTGTTTAACAACAATATCCAGTTATACACCAGCGGTAGATTGTTTAGCAACAATATCACTTTAGACACCGGCAGGTAGATTGTTTAACAACAATATCCAATTACATACCGGCAGGTAGATTATTTAACAACAATATCCAGTTACACACCAGCAAGTAGATTGTTTAACAACAATATCACGTTACATACCGACAGGTAGATTGTTTAACAACAATATCCAGTCATACACCAGCGGTAGATTGATTAACAACAATATCACGTTACACACCGGCAGGTAGATTGTTTAACAACAATATCCGGTTATACACCAGCGGTAGATTGTTTAACAACAATATCACGTTACACAACGGCAGGTAGATTGTTTAACATACTGATTCGGATACCTTGAACTCGATCGTAAACATCAGTATCGGTCTGAACACACATGAATAATTTTAGGGGAGCCCTTTGTTGGTGCGCCCACCGTGAAATATGATTGGAAGTTTGCTTGAGCCGGGCATGGTCTCAAACACCAATAGTTGTAACGCCAACAAGCCCTCCCAGGAAGCAGGCGCGGCGCCCCTAGCTTGCCTAAAATTGCATAATGACAGGAAGAAATGATCTCCGACTTGTGCTATGTTTTTTCTTCAATAGATGCGCGTTTGAAATAATATATCAAACCTCCTGTCTACTGACACCCTCTGTTTATACACTAAACAATTTGAAAATAGCTTTTATTCGATTATGGTTTGTGTGGCAACAAATTTGCAATTTAAATGACAAAATATAGTGGCTACTGCGTCAAGTGCTGAAACTGTGTTTGGCATGTTTATTAAAACTATCGAATTTCTGGAGTTGTTAGAAAGCGTTAGCCGATGAATCATAGCTTTCCGCAGCATATTCTCCCAGATACTAGGACGAATATGTGCAAACGTACGCTTTAGTGTCTTCAGGCTCATTGCTGGAAGGGTATCAGTTAAGACGACACCAAGGTGATAGTGAGTGAGTGAGTGAGTGAGTGTTGGTTTACGCATCAGTCAATAGTCCAGCAATATATCATGGTGGCCTGGGACCAATCGAGTACTGGCCAGACAAACCAGTGGTTGGTAGCTTGAGAAAGGACACACGCTATCGCAGAGATACCATCAGGCAGGGCGAACTCGACAAAGCCAGCTGCTACTGGGTACGTCTTTGCCCACTGCTAACTTCAGCCTGCCAATGGACTCTAGATCTTTGCGTGCAATACATATAGACTATGCCATACATCTCAGGTTGTGTGAAATCTGCTCTTTATTTTATATAAAGCGTTCTAGTTACTTTTTGCATGGACGTTTTATGTTCCCTGTGCTTCAATGATTATTCGGTGAAACTGTCTGTGGCGTGGTCGTAGCGTTAGGACGCTGGGGCTCACGTGTGAGATGAAGTGATGCAGCATGAATAAAGCTGAATACAAGCACTTTGTAGTATATCTTATGGGTAGTTTTCCAGCGAATTGAATTCAATGGTATCTATCGGCGATCACACAATGCCTACAAATACATATACGTATGTATACAGTTCGTGTGATGCGCGTGGGAAATGTGTGTGTTGAATAATGAAGTTATTCAGGATCAGGAGTGACCGGGTGAATGTAGTTTTACACCGCAGATATTCCACCTGGGTCCCGGCTGCCTACGAATAATCAAATCCATAGCCCCTCAAAACAGATATTGATAGAATGAGGAACGACCCTCAACGTCAGTGTCTGCGACAACACCAACCCAGAGACACGTTGTATAATCACCTCATCCTAATGTTGGACTGCTTCTACCACAAGCATGGGGCACGTGCACGATGAACCAATCTCCCCTAGGTTCTCGTCAGGAGCCCGGATGGGGAAGAGCCAATTATACACACCATAAATAGATCCCTTGTCCAGTTTAATTATCATATCCGGACTGAGTAAAATAGGACATGTTTTATTTAACGATAAATTAACCAAGAAATGTCGGGACCGTACATTGCCCTATACACAAACGAGATATCTGGCCGAATGGGGAAATACGAGTACGTAATAATTAGTCCTCGCCATGACTGTGGAATGTAAATAGACAAGCAGTGTTTCTGCAGGCCAGTTACGTAACATTCAGCGTGCATAGATAAATCTGAAGTATTGTTTCAGAACACTTATCTTGCTGCATGTGTAATGATCTGAGATTTCAATAACACATAACCATTAAGGTTAATGAGGTTGATAGGTTATATATATTGACGTACCCGAGGTCAGTAAATGTGCAACCCATAAACCAACAGCGAGCCTGTCTCGATGCGCCACGCAGCGTATGTATTGTTACACTTGACATTGTAACACCGTTTCAAAACATGTATTGCAAAGTTATCGTAAATTTGTACACACCTCGCTAAAGGCATTGTAACTCTATCTCCGCATGTTGTAAGACCGTTTGGTTACCACTTAGCATTGAGGCTGCAGTGATAAACCCTCAACCAGAGTTCTGTGATCTGACAGTACTGCCCGACGTTACGTCACACGCGCATGTTTACGAACATACGGAACACATGGTCATCGAGTAATGGGCCGCTAACGCCAAGTCTGAATTTCAGGAAGTCCCGGGAGTGCCCGGGTGCCGAGTGCGGTGAACCGTTTTATGATATAAACGAAGCATACCGAAATACATTAGTTGAAATACACTTTATTATATAAACGAGTTGTAGCTAGTGAGTCTACTCACATCGAAACTCGAAATAACATCGATTTGACACTGAGTAAAAATGCATGCATGCAATATAAGTCTTATCTTCCACAACAATACCACCAAAATGGCAAATGCGCAAGTGAGAGTGACTTTATAGAGAGTGTGAGAGGCTGACAGCAACTGTACTATGGCGGGTTTTGATTTCCTCGCCAAAGCGTTTATAATGAAACAAAGTATAGGAGATGTGCTGTCGCCGGATGTAGTGCAAGCCTTTCAACCCGTGAAGTCTCTTCCCATCTATATGTACATGCAGCAACACGTCACGTGACAACAGGTCGTCGTAGTCGCTGCGTCGGTTACGACCGACACGTTGCCAGCCGGAGACGATTAAAGGTGGACAGTGTACATGTAACTTGAGAGCCAAAGTAGACAACTCATGGATAACAACTTCTTAACTACTGTAAAGGCGACGCTTCGGTATAGATCCTTATATCATTGTCAAGCAAGGCCGTAACGTCGCCTTTACAGTAATAAAGAAGTTGTTATCTATAAAATTGTGTCTACTTTGTCATCCGTCAACTTCTAAGTAATGCCTATCAAAGAAAAATATATAACTCGAGAGTGTTCACGTGATGTTAAATGAAATATTGTACCTTGTTACCATTGCTCCTGGAGATGTAGACGGGGCGGGGCGGGGCGGGGCGATGTGTGTGTGTGTGTGTGTGTGTGTGTGTGTGTGTGTGTGTGCGTGCGTGCGTGCGAGCGTGCGTGCGCGTGTGTGTGATACATGCTTTGGAGTCAGACAGATCATGTATATGTCGGGTGACCGAAATGAAGCGATAGTGTGGAGCTCGGTGATTTCTTTTGGTAAGTCGAGCATTCTCTGTTATAGCTTCGAATGGACGTTTCATTTCGGTGACCCGACATATACATGATCTGTCTGACTTCAAAGCCTGTATCATTCATAGCCTAAATCGATGTCCCTCTCAGTTTTCCATAATTATTTTTAATGTTATTTTTAGACATTGAGGAATTCCCCTAAAGTAGTTATGTATGTCTCCGCGCGATTGACAACGTAATCACGTGACATACTGACGTTCATCGGGAAATGAACGACTGTCAGCTTTGTAATGTTTACCTAGGCGAGGTCATCCGCTACTGTCAATATTCGACAATAAACGGCAATGAACAATTTCTCCAAATCATGCCCGTTCATCTCAGCAGCGTCCCGATCCACAGGACACTGTCCAGACAACACAGGACATTGTTACGATTTTGATCCGATACAGAAGAATCTGTCACGACATAGTCACGATTGCAATCCGACTAAACAAAATCGGCTGAGTTTCCCGAATGTTACGGGACGCACCATCCTGTCGGGATTGCTTGGCCGACCTCTCTGGACCTTTCCCGATCCGTAGGACTCTGTTACGAAC